GTGGTTCTTAAAGAGTTAAGTAATGGTTTGTAAACATAAGATTATTTATTTTCAGCTGTTACAATCGTCCCTTTACTTATTGTTACAATTGTCCCCAAGACGCCATTTCAGCTTCATTTGTTAAAAACAATGCTAGTTAATTAGCAAAACTAATCTTTTTTTTTTTGAAATGTTAATTAAAGTGTCCACTTACATATTCGGTTACTAATTTTTATTTGTTTAAACAAAATTACTTTGTTACAATATAATATTCTAATACCAAAAAAAGTACTTGCGTGGCGTGAAAATATCTTTTGTGATGTAACTCTTTCAAAAGTACATAAAAATGGTTGCCATCAGGGGTGTACATGTAGATTTATTAAATACACCTTGTGCGCCACCTAGGAACCAAATCTAGAACCCGACACTCGAAATTTTTGCTCTGTTACAATCGTACCCTGTTACAATTGACCCCACTCTCCCCTACTATAAAGAAGTGAATTACATGAGCCTACGCATTGTTTAGAAATAGTGGTGGATTAAAATCTACTGAATCGAACTTACTAAACCAAGAATTACAAATTATAAACTGCCACTTGAAAATATTATATGTTATATATTATTATATGTTATATATGTTATGTTATATCAAAAATATTATATGGTAGCTCTTTGCTCCAACAATAAATAAGTCGGCCTGTCTAATTCAGGGGGTCTACATTCAGGTAAGCAGGCAGTGGATACGTAAGTACTATAAAGTGGTGAATTATGTAAGCTTACAAACTATTTAGAAATAGTGGTGGATAAAAATCTACTAAATTGAATGTATTAAACCATGAATCACAATAGACAAACTACCACGTTAAAATATATATTTGCTGTCCGGAGCAAGTTGGCATCTCTGTATATTTCATTCTTGAATAAATTAGTGCTATAGCTTACAATGCTATGTAAATGATAAAAATCAATAAAACGATTTTTTTACTTAGCTTTTGCATAGCAGCATAAAATACAACGCTGCTCGAATTATCTCAAGTGTGCACAGTTTGGCCTGTTTAACTCGCTCGAATTAACTCGAGCGCACAAGTTAAGGGGTTAAACTACTTAACTATGTATTCGTAACTACCACCAGGACATACATAGTAATTTACATAGCTGACGTAAAATATCCTCAGTGCCGTCCCCTTGCCGCCGGCCTAACCGTGGTAGGTTTTCGTGGTTTTCCTCTCCATGTAAAGCTAATGAGGGTTAGTTCCATTAAAAATTCTCCACGAAGGCACATTACTCCCAATTCATACCTGCCAACTTTTACGCATTTGGCGTAAAATTTTATTTTCATAGTTAAAGTGGTAGTAAATATATACTATTTTTTCTTTTATAAACTTAATTTTTAAATAATTTTGATCACCACTATTCTTAAGAAAATTAAGCATATAATATTAATATGTGTTACCATCATAGTCGTCATCTTAAGCATTTTCAAATGCCACGTATCTTTTTGCTTAAAATTGAAATTTTAATTCCATATTATTACCACTGGGAAAAATCATTATGGAAGGGATTAAAAGTTGGCAGTTATGCAATATCCAGGAGTTCCCTATCTTCTGAACTGGGTTCAAAATTACAAGGCTACCGAGTTGAATATTGGTAGTCATAATCCCTTATTTGAGTCGACTGTTCAACGACGTAATTTACAATAAAATACATTGTAAATTATTTATATTTAAAGCGAAAAACAGTTCTTAGTAATCACCCTCACTAGCAAACTGAAAATAATACGCTAGAAAACGTTACTAATTTTAATCTCTTTTAAAAGTTTTTATTTTTTATTAATCACCACTTTTTACATTTGTAGTCTCCTGTGGCATTTCTATTTAGATAACATTCGCCCGACGTCTTTTTATGTTTGCTTCACTTTATTTACAAAAATTGGGCACCTGGACCGCGTAGCAGCCCCTACAAAAAATTTATAGTAATAACATTTTGAATTTAGCAGTCGATGTGGTAGCTAATATTCATTTTAACCGGTTAACGCCCAGCGTCATATATTTAGGGCAGTTCCTTTTTTCAAAGACATTCATTGTGGTGGGAAACTTTTTTCAGCATTTTCATTTATCTGGGTGAATTAAAAGATTCTCAGATACCACAATGATTTAGTTATTTCT